AAACATCATTAAAATCACACACAGCTAGATTTCTCTGTGGGCTAAAAATGTAGTTAGTACTTTCACTTGCTTCTATGGGATTTCACAACCTAATACTTTTGTATTTTATTTCTCTAATTATTGTTGCATATAGAATATGAATTAGAACTTAGATTATAAAAAATGCTTAAATAATTTCTTTCCCTCAAGTTCTACATCAAATACTTCATTAACTGCTGAGGTTAATTCTGGATTTGCCAAACGTGTTCGACAAGATAATTCAAGTGATAAGCATTTACAAGAAAATAGACCAACAATAGGTATGTCTCTGCTCTTGATTTGATATTTAATGATATGACTACCTAACATACATCTAGTATTTTATATTTCTTACAGTATTTTCATAAGAATCTACTTTTATCTATTTTCACCTTTATTATGTGATGGAACAAGTGTCATTATCCACATGTTGTAGGTAGGAAAACTTAAGAGATAAAATGTAAATGTAAAACACACATACCCAGGATCACACAGATATTATTATGGTGGAGCCTGAACTCAGAACCAGATTTCCCAACTGTACATTCTACACCCTTTTTGTTATCCATACTGCCTCATATTGCAGAAGAATCGGTAAATAATTTAGCTAATAATTGAAGCAATTAACTAAATGTATTATTTAATAAGTTAATTAAGTATATTTTACAAATAAACTATACCCACTTGAAATTTTTCTCTTAGCTTATTATTTTTAATAATTTGGCCTTTGACTCATTTGTATAACTATTGCCCAGGCTCTAATCTATACCTAGTCACAGTCATATTATAACTGCCATTGGCAAGTTGAAAAAGATACTAATGGAAGTAACTATATTCCCTCAACAGCATATGGGAGTGACATGAGTTCATGTAACAAAATTACTTCATTTAAACTAGAAGTATATCATGCCAACCAGTTCCCAGGCCTCAATGGCCAGAATTCTGTCTCTCTGATACTATAGTTCCTAAGACTTCATTAAGAAAGTATTTATTTAGTAAGCATTCACCATGTACTAGGTCCTGTGATGAATACAAAGATCAATAAAATCCAATTTGTTTTTTCTCTAAAGGAACTTATATCAGGTGGAATTTAAAGGGGTCTCATGAGATGACAATGAGTGTTTCTAAGAACAGCATGAAAACTATTGTTACTTTTTTCAAAAATGCTCTTTGATTAGAGTGATATAAAATTTCTCCATAAGTTTGCCAAACTGTATCTGTAAAATGGTTGCTTCCTATAGTGACCAGTGGCAGTTGTTTAAGTTCCATGGAAACGCCTTTCATGCAAATGTAAAAATCAGACAACAAGGTACTATAATGTAAAATTTACTATGGTTATTTGGTTTAACATACTGTATTCAATAATGCTTAACAGTGTGTATCTGTAGTTGGTATAGATGTGTACTGCCCCACTGGACTCCTGAAAAAATTCTTCAGGATGTCATAATTCTACAACCAAATAATTTATGAAAACTCTCAAATCATAGAAATGTTTCTAATGCGCTTATTGTCTAAGTATAGTATAAATATATCAAATATGTTATGTATCAAGAGAGATGAGTAAGAATATCTACTATGGAGAAAAAAGTGGGAGATGATACTAAACCACAGTGTTTGCCAAAGAGAAAAAAGGGGTAATGCAAAATAAAAAGATTATATGTCTTTAAGGATAATGGAGCACTTAGAAGGAGGTAATAGTTTGTAAGGGAAGATAATATTTTATATACATTAGAATATCCAAGTGAAAATGCCCAAGTACACACCAAAAAAAAGTAAGAGGGAACAGAGACTGCCTTCCTTAGAATGTGTTCAATTGAGTTTTCCAACTAACAGTGTACAAGTGAAAAACCAAAGGCCCATCAGTGGGAAAGAAGGTAACTACTGTTGAATGAGCAGTTAGAGAAGTAAGAAATGTGTGTCTCTAAAACTGAAACCTAATGTGATGAACAAAATGAATAAGCAGTTAGACTGACCCTGAAAAAAGTCAATGGCATTCTGTTGTAGCAAAACTTTGAGTAGAGGAATCATTTTGAAAGCTGATGAACCAGAAGAATGGGCATAAATGAAACACATTTGAGAAGTGGCACTGAAAGGAAAAAGGGCTGTGGGATCAGGATCAGCCCTTTAGTAAGTACTAGATACAAATGATACTTTTAAATTGGAAAACTTTGGAAGTTTAAAAGCCCTGGGGAAATAATCCAAAAAATGAGAAAAATTGGTGATACAAGAAAGAAAGGGAACAAATGCTTGTAGAAATAAAGTCTTTTTATTAGTCAGAAGGAAAGAACGTGAATGTAGTAGTTTACTCCGTGACTTCACTTGGTGCGGTCTGTGTGTGTGC